TTTTGAGAAAGACAAAATAATTTGCAGCTACTCCCCAAAAATGACCTTAACTGCAAGACTCATAATAAACTTAATACTCATAATAAAGCCACCAATCATAAAGAAAATAAGAGAAATTCTCATTAAGAGTTTTACATATTAAGACATATTAAGGAAAAACTTAATAAAAGATGGTCTAGAAAGGGAGGAAAAAAAAGATTTGATAGGGAAATAACAATGCATCCAAGTCCTAAGAGATTACTAAACATGTCACACCACTAGTTTTGGAATCAACCCACTAGCCCGCCCCAGGTATAAAGTCCCAGCTGAAGCTGTAATCCCTGAAATTGGAAAGTGCTGACATTAGCCAGTTCTTGCTGTCAGTCAAATGCTATTGTATAAAGGAAATTCTTTTCACCTTGGCTGTGGATTGGAGTTGAAAACCTAAGAAGGAAGTCTTTAACTGGGGTCCAGAGGAAAACGTGGAAAAAAAACAGATCAAAATCCCACAGGAAAATGAACTAAATAAAAGAAAAAGCCCAGAGCCAATTTGTTAACTAGTCCAATAAATCAATATGGTATCTGGCTACCATATGCAAAGGTAGATTTGAGAGGAATATCTAGAACTAGGTACTGCTGATTAGAGCAGAAAGAGTACCCTTTTTTAGGCCTGATCTGCTAAAAAGGATGACATCATTTTTCCTGAGATCTAGTTACAGGAGAGCAGAAGGAGAATCCAGGATATGGAGCACGCCAAAAATGGCTGGACACTTCAGAACTTGTCTTTATGTGGGTGGAAAATGAGCCAGAGAGACCTGGCTCTCACACTTGGCTTTGCCATTTATTAACAGCATGACCTGGGACAAACGATTTAACCTCTCTGAATCTTTTTTCCTTGTCTATAAAACATGAGTACTAAACACCAACAAAACTCTTAAGAGGACTAAAGGAAATAACCAATGAAGTGTGCCTGACAAACAGTAGGTACTTTCTTCTAAGTCCCTTCTACAGTAAACTTCCCATCTAAACAGGAGCATGAGATAAGCCAGAAAAGAAAATTATCTCAAAAAGTGAACTGTTTGATGACTTTCATTATTTTTCTTGTTGGTCAAGTAGTTTCCATTATAAAATGTATGCTGCCTACTTCCATTCCTCCAACAAATATTTACGGACACCCCCACTTTAGGGATGTCAGCTTACCCTGTGAAATGGTCTTAAACAATACCAATAAAAGGCCAAACCAGCATCCATCCAACATAACACGGTATACTGAGCACGGTTTCTCCTGAACAAAGATGCCACTGGTCTTACCTAAACAAGGCCAGTCTGATCAAGTCTACAAGTGGCAGGACAGCTGGTTCATATGCTCTCAGGCTAGAGAGGACCATGGGTCATAGCCTGTCACTTCAGCCATCCTCACACACATAGATGAAACCACTGTCAGCAGCAGCATCTTTAAAGGATAGCTAACATCCTGTTTTGGGCTGTTTTTCTCCAACTGTTCAAAAAAAAAAAAAAAAAAGCTGCTCTCATAGCCAGTAATCTCACAGCGCCAATTTCCTAAGCAACCCTATTTATAGGGTTGCTGTTTAAGCATATATTTCACATGGTATCACATTTTCAGAATTCTGAAGGCAGTAAAAATTAGACTGTCAAAAGTCTGTTTTATTGGGAGAGGCATCAAAAGTTCTACTGATCAAGAGTCTTATGACCAAGATGACTTGATTGCCAAAACCCATCTTCTGACCCCCTTTCTCCAAGCTGAGTCTCTTTCATCTGAGTTCTCCCACTCACTAGCTCTAGAACCTGGGGCAAGGGTCTTAATTTCTCAGGGCCTCAATTTCTTTATATGGATTAATTATTCTCTGAGGTCCTTTCCAGATGTACAAATCTATTAAAAAGCATCAAATGGCTAAGTTTCTGGTAGTTTGTGAGGGTTCCTAAGCCTACATTTAAATGCTATTAATACAATGCAGGTATCTGTATATATCATCCCATGTAAAATTTGGTTTGAGAGGAACAAACTCATAATCTACACCTTGAACACAGCAGGAACTGAGAAAAGTGAACTACATAAACAAACAAGGGAATGGGAATACTGACCGTACCTGGAAACAAAGCTGGACACTACAGGTGGGAGGGTGGGAAAGAAATCATAGGCCAGAAACACTTCGATACGAATGGAATGCTTCTGGCAAAGATCCATATAATGTGGAAAGGCAGAAACAACAACCAAAAGAATATAGTGAACCCCATCACCAGACTATTAGCTTCCTCTAAAACACCAATGCTCTGTTCAAGCCAAATTCTTCTGGGAAGCTCTCAATTCCTGTTTACTCTAAAACAAATGAAAAACAAAAGAAAAAACCCAGATTATTCCTTGTAACTTAAACCCCAGGGGAGGTTGGGAACCAGTGGGAGGCAAAGAGATTCACACAAATAGACACACGTATACAAAATCATTTCTGATGGGGGGAAGTTAATGAAGCACACAAAATCCCAGGGCTGACAGGAAGTGGAATTAGAACCACAAAAGCCAAGAAGACAGTCAACAGTTTAAAAAACTCCAGATGCACTCAGTTTATTAAAACTGAACACAAGCAGGGAGGGGGCTGGAGACCCATGGCTGATGAAGTAGTCTTAGGCGGCATTTCACTGAGTCAGAGCAAGTCACTGCTTCTCTCACATCAGAACTTCTAATGCCATTAAGGTCAAGAAATTCTTAAGCTTCTAAAAGGCAATCTGGTAATGAAATAAAATAGAAAGGGAAACATTCAGAAGAGCTTGTGATGATTTCCAGAACAGAGATTTTTACATTAAGAGCTACTAGAAATTTATTCTCACAGAAGAGCCAAGTAGATGTAGAAAAGAAATGTTTAATTTTTTTTAATCTAATAAGGTTTTTGCAGCTGGAGTCATATTTCCCACACCCCCTCCTCAAAAAGTCTGCAATAATTCTAAGAGCCCCTGGCCCTTACCACACCAGATCCATTGGGAAGCCTACTGTCAGGCCACCAAAAGGCAATTAAATCAAGACCAATCATTCATTCAACAAACATTTCCCGGACATCCTTCAATAGCAAAAAATGCTGCTATGCACAGAAGGTGCAAAAACAAGGGAGACGCTGTTGCTGTCTTCAAGGAGCTTCCAGTCCAGTGGGGGAGACAGACACATAAACAGGAACTAAAGGACATGCAGGCGTCGCTGGAGACTGAACAGAGTGCTGGGGTCGAGGTGGCTAACTCTGATGGGAAGACTTAGGGAAAACGTCACCGAAGAAGTGATACTTGACTGTATCTTGAAAAGATGTCGGTCATCTTTTAGGTAAAGTAACATGAGAAAGATATTTCAGGCACAGGATAAAGCAGGTGCAAAGGCAAAGGGTTAGGAAAAGAGATGATCAAAGGTTTGGCTCGGCAGAAACAGGGTGAGAGTGGAAGGGGAGACACAATGACTACTAAGAATTCAAGACGATAAGCTCAGTGACTACCGGTAGGAGGAGAACATAATGGAACAAGTACGGAACAGCAGGAGAGAGGAGACGCAACAGGGCACTTTGTTAGGCAAGCGTTCCTGGAGGAGACGTCAAGCTGAGTCCCAGAATATAAAGAGGAGTGTGTAGGGCAGACAGGGGCAGAGTCTAGCTGGACTGCAGGACCTACAGAGAGGCACAAAGGCATGGAGTCCTCAGTGGCACCACTGGATTCTAAGGTGTAGGAGGGGAAATGGAATTCTAGAAAAGTCAGCTGGGGTCAGATCCTTGGAAGCTCTGAAGTCCTATCAAGTATCTATTTACACGTTAAGCCTAGGGAGCCATTTAAGAGTTTTAGAAGACATGAACATATTTGCATTTTAAGAAGATATACACATATCATAACCTCTTCTTTGCCTGTATAATTTTAGGTCCTGCTTTATCTACCATCTTCTATTCAGAGTCTCAACACTTCCCTTTGTTTAGTGCCCCTCAAGTACAAGCTGTTATGATAATCTATTAAAGAGATCAAGAATGATAATGTCTAATTATAAAAATAATTTTAAAAATTTTTATGGAGTACAAATAGTGCTTTGCGTACGTCATCTCATTTGCCCTTCAAGGTACACTTAGAAGGTAGGAACCATCATTAGTGCCATTTTATAGCTGAGGAAACAGGATGAGAGTAACTTGCTGAAAATCAGAAAACTAATAAGGGGTACAAATGGGTCTCAAACTAAGTCTGTCAGGCTCTACAGCCCATGTTCTTTACTTCTCTGTTACGCTGTCTCCTACTGTATTCCTTTAATTGTCCCCCCATCAATGACCCTACTGTGTTTTACTAACACAGCCTGCCACCTGCTGAAAGCCTATGTGACTGCACAGACATGCATACCAGCAATCACTAAGGACTCACATCCACACAGACAGCAAACGGGGCCAGGCACCCTCGGTGCTACAGTCACAACTAGCCGGTCAGTGAGCAACAGGCTTCCTGGTCCAGTAGTTGTGATCTGCTTCTTACTCCTTCTCTGTGCAAATAGGGAATTAGGGGTGGGAGAGAAGAGAAGGGGAGGAGGAAGAGGAAGGGAAGAAAGAAGGGGTGGGGGTGGGGAACCCACCAGAAAGAAGACTAAAACAAAAAGGAGGAGCCATTGGAAAATGGGAGAAAGCACATACTGGTACCAGCCAGAGCTTCTTGGAACAGTTCCCAGTCTGGCTGCCAAAGAGCTCTGGAATATATTTGTTAGAGCTGGATTCCTGTACAGTCCGTTGCAGACTTTTTCTGATTGCGCTCTGACAAAGAGACCCACACTTCAGCTACAATCCCTGCTTCCCACACCGAAAGCTAGTGTTAGTCCTCAGGGGACCTCCAACTAAGTTCACCACCGGCCTCTTCATACGCTACGTGAGTTTAGAAAGAAAGAAAAGTCCACCACATATCTTTTACTCTTGTAGAATCACTAAGCCTCTCTACCCCAGTATCCCATCCCAGTTTCCCAAAAGCCCCTTTTCACAAAATATGTTAAGCTTCTCGAGTCTCCTTACCAAAACAACTGCTGCGATGAGGAACAAAAGTTTTACAGGCTGTGGCAATAGCTAGTTCAGCAGAGATTATAGTCTTAATGATCAGGTCTTCTACATGGGCCATCAACGCTACAAAAGGAAAAAAACACTATAATGCATGAATTAGGACTGGATTCCAGGACACAATATAATTATAACAGCACATGTGCCCATTCAAAGAAGTCTCCATGTGGCAGTCTTGCAAATGGGCGCTCCAGCAGAAGGCATGTCTGTGAACAGAGGGACACAGGCAAGAATGGAGGTGCTGGGGGATGTACTCAGGCGGTCTCCTGTGACGAGAGATAGACACAGACTAAAGGAGCCGTCCCCGCTTCTCACTCTCCTCTCACCCTTCCCTCTGTGGACTGAGATAGGCCTTTCGGCACACTGCTTCCCATTCTGCTCAAGGCTCAGCGACAGCGTCCATTTTGATTCCAAGCCTTTGTACTCAAACTTGACACTGCCCATTCTCCAATTCATCAACGGGAATGAAAGAGACTGCCTTAGGAAAATGTGAACTCAGGGCCAATATGGAGATAGATAATTTGTTACGTAAAAAGCTGACCGTATTTTAGTGAGCAGTTCAACATTCAAGAAGGATAAATTCCCTAAAAACTAAAGGAAAAAGTTGTCTTCCAAACTAGAAACAAGAGAAGGGATTTGGGGAGCCACGGTAAGTAAGGCCGTTGTTCTCCATCTTGTAAAGGGCAGGAAAAATTAACACCAAGAACAATGATCCCATCAGACACCTCAGCAACACTATTAGAATTCGAGAGAATGACTCCTGGTTAGAGATAATAGTACAGTTATACGAAGAAGAGAAGTCAAAAAGGAAAAAGCCCTGGTACTCACCAGTTGTATCTCTGCCTTCCTGTTTCAGATACCTAAGCATAGCACTCATGCTCCATTTGTTCCCATAATCCTCCACTTCCGGATCATCACAACTAAAACAAATTCATGGATCAATGTCACATATGCAACTAGGCCTGGCTCTAGAAACAAGATTTTTTACAAATAGTCTTCTTTCCTTATCGGTCTTTAGAAAAATATTCCCTTTGCTGACTTCTACTCACCCACTTTTTCTTGGTCCTTTATGTCATATACGCCTTTGTACCAGTTTCTTCCATTGAAATGGAAATGCATATAACTTGCCTTAATGAGGGGGGTAGGGGAAAGGAAGGCAAATTCCTCCTTAACCAAACAATTATGCATCATGAACCAGTAGAAGAAATTTGTGAAAGAATGTAAACAAATTTAAGAATGGTTACAAAATATTAACACACTGAAATGCTTGGGGATACTAACCTTGTCTTTGAGGTAAATGTCACATGAGCCCACAAACCGGCCTCTAATGCCATTTTCAGACCAGAACTGAGTCTAGATGGGCTAGTAAGCTAATCTAGCGCAGCATTTTAATGAGTTAACCCTGGACAGAACCGCGCTGGCATCTGAAGCAAGCTCCCTTCTGTCTAGTGATAGACACGGCTTCTCTGGATACCTTTTGAGGTATCACCCGAGGGAGAGTGCACTAGAGCAACAATAGAAGTAATGAAGTACACCACCGCTACAGCAACAAAGTGGCAAACAGGGCACATTCCCAGATTGTTGGAAGGGTCTTGCAATCTGAAACCTGTATTTTCCAGCTGCCCGCTTATTCCCTATCACCACCCCGCAACCCACCAGTTGCATCTTTGCTCATCTTCCAAAGTGCAAGAGATTGCATCTTCAACCAATTCCTAACACCGGTCACAGGACACTCAATGAAATCTATATAGCTTCGGCAACTATGCCATCACTTCCAGATTCCTTTCTTTTTTTCCCTTGGACCTTCTAGGCACCTATTTTTAGTCTGAGTAGAAAGTAACTGTTTGGGTTTCTTTTTTATTTTTCCAGTTTCTGGCAAAATTATCAGGATGAAAGAAAACACAGCAGAAAGAATATTTCCACACAGCTGGGCTGGTACTCCGTTCCACTGAATCTTTTTCTGAGATGGCCTCCTTTCTTTTTTTATTTAATTTATTCCTAACGTTTTTTCCCCCGATCATAAAAGTGTTTCTTTTAGAAAAACTTAGGAAATAACATAAAAGTACAGAGAAGAAGACAGACATCCCCCACCCAAAATCCCATCCATTATAGTTAAGGACTGTTAACATTTTAAGATATATCCTTCTAGTTTTCTTCTCTCTCCCACACCCCCTCGGTGGGGGGGGAGGAAATACAGCTTCAGTTATCTTACATATTCAAAAAAGAAATTAAATTGCATGTACTGTGTGGTAACTTGCTTTTTCCACCTGACAATGTACAGTGATGAACATTCTTGTTTCTAACCTTGTGTATAAGTCCTTCATTTCTTTATGTTAAGCTCCTAGAAATAGAATTACTGGGTCAAAGGGCACAAGCATTTTTGAAGCTTTTGATACATTTTGCCAAGTGCTGAAATGACCTAATTTCTTGACTTCGAAAAAGTTCCATATGCCTATAAAATTCCTACCTCTAAGTCAAGTGAGGGAACTTGACAGTGAGGCAGACGAAACTTGGGAAGGAAGGCATATTTTGGTGGAGAAAGGGGACATTGTAGGTGGGCAAGCAATAGAGAAGCCATAGCAGGTAAGCCTCAAAACTACATGAAATGACTCCAATAGCTCTAAGTTACATGGATATGAGCGTAACGTTTTCCTCCAGGGCAACAAGTTAACTTTGCACTTCTCCAACGTCTGCCTCGGAGACCGACTTCCCCGGCTCCTGGCTCAGGCGCAGCCAGTACCTGACATAGTCTCCACTCTTCTTATTCACACTGTAATTGGTCAGGTGCATGAACTGGTTCCGAATATTCTTGGCTCCTTGGTCATATCGTACGGTGGCAAACCTGATAGAAAAGACACAGGTTAAATGTCAGGAACAGGGCTTCGATAAAATACAGGATCAATGAGATATTAATACAGGGAGGTGGCATCCTCCTCAAATACTGAGTGCTTATTAAGTGCCAACCCCCACGCTAAGTGTTTCATGTACAATATCACATTTAATTCAATCATTAAAGCAATTCTCTGAAGGAGGTACCATTATGTCTAATTTTTAAAACAGATATGAGCATTAAAATAGATCTGGGGCATGAAATACTGTTTTCAGAGAACTTGGAAGTAAACTGTCTATGGATATATAGTCCAATAATGAAGCGTAGCTGAGAACTCACTTGAGATTTTCATCATTATTTTAAAGTTAAGCCATTTAGCAATGTTGACTGTTCTTACCAGACAAATTCAGTTTCAGAGTTCAGGCATAGAGTGGGCAGAAAATAGGGTTTTTCTATTGTTGGAATGTTTAAATGAAATAAAAATTAAAGTGGAGGGCTTCCCTGGTGGCGCAGTGGTTGAGAGTCCGCCTGCCGATGCAGGGGACACGGGTTCGTGCCCCGGTCCGGGAGGATACCACGTGCCACGGAGCGGCTGGGCCCGTGGGCCATGGCCGATGGGCCTGCGCGTCCGGAGCCTGTGCTCTGCAACGGGAGGGCCCACAGCAGTGGGAGGCCCGCGTAGGGAAAAAAAAAAAAAAAAAAAAAAAAAAGTTAAAAATATGATCTGGAAGATTAAGTAACTTGCCCCAAATCACACTGACTCCAAAACCCATGTTCTTAACCACGAGATGCTGCTTTTTTGATACAGAACCTTAGACGGATAGGAAAGATGAAAAATGAAAACGAGGTTATTCACAGTCAAGGAAACTGTGTATAGGATGCTGTGGATGATGGGACATTAGCCTGTCAAGAAACACCTGAGTGCCTATACAGTGCCTGGTACTAAAGCATTCTATGGAAAATATTATGCAAAAAGAAAAAAAGGACAGCATAATAATATAAAGACTTAGAACTCACATCCATAGGAAGAAACAGAACTGATCTATAAAATTAAGAAAACTATAATGGCAGCATTAACAGCATACAAAGCCTAAGTCTGCAGAACAGCATAAATATGAGCGTAGAGTGGATTAATTCCTGAATTTGGAATGACGGCAAAAAGAGGGATTAAACACGGAGCCCACTGAAAACAGAGCAGCAATTTGATATCCTGGACTGTTGTCAAAAGAAGACCAAAGTATAAAATATATGTGTCTCTGAAGGAAGTAGCCGAGGAAAGAGAAAACTTTCCAGTGATGCTCAGCATCAACAAAAGTACACTCGAGTCGAACGGTTATGGTAAATATCACCCCCTGTTTACATACCACTCTAACCGTATCACGCTTCACTAAAGTGGTTTTCCCCAGAGGCACAACCAAGTGTGTGAAAAAAAATCCTGGAAGGCCACAAGTTTATTTTCACATGATTTACAAATTATTTACATGTGCTTACTCAGACTATGAAGTCAACGTGAATTTGTACCACACTGAAGGGCAGCATTTAAAACTTTTCTTCTCCTCTATTTCTTCTCACTCACCCACTATCTCTGCTCCCTAATTCCCTGTACTAGAAATCTACAAGAGCCAAAGAAAGAAGAGTGGAAAAAGGAAACATAAAAACAACAAACCAAAAAAGAAACCCCAAAACTAAAACAAACAAACATGAGGCCAGGAGGAAGGACGTGGACAAAGAGAAAATGTTGACCAGGCATGTGTGTGGCTAAGGGGCAAGAGTCTGATGAGCATTACGTCTATGCATGAGAAGGACCTCAGATTTTCCAGAAACTTCCAGCACTTATCACTTAACTTCACCCATGTCACTCCGTGGTGAGTAAACCTTACCTATACATCCCAATCTTCCTTCGTCAGAGATCCTCCAATCAAGCGGGAAATAGTCATTCTCTGAATTCTTGTGAAATGCGAAGGGGGCCCAGGCAGGCCTCACAGAGGCTGCCTGCCTCAACCAGACATTACCTCACAGTGACATACCACCTGCCATCTCTCCCCCAAAATAATGATTTAGAGGGAGGGAAAAGGTTCTGCTTCAGAGAAAGAGGTTTTTCTTCTCTTCTAAATACAAGTACCTGATCTAATTTGGTCAACATGAAAAGAATGGCAAAAGCCCGGCAGTTAACTGTAAACTGGTACCCAACACATCTGTCATTCCTACCCTCCTTTTTTCAATAGGACTGCATCTCTAAAAAAAATAAGTCTTCTTCTTCCTAGTCTTCCTTTTAGCTGGGACATTTATATTCTGAAACTCAGGAAGGACAAGATCATTAATGTTACAGTTCCTCTAAGTATAAGAAGAAGTAAGAATTAGAGAAAACAGAAACAAAAAACTAAGCTCAGCGGAAAAGTTACCCAAAAGGGCAAAAGTGCTACACTCTTTATTTCAGTCAGCTGAACAAGGAATGCAGAAGACCATGCAGAGGAAAGGCAGGTGTATATGCTCACCTTTCCTCCTAACCCAGGAAGAGCTTATGGTTCTCACTAAAATCTGGATTAAACAAACCACATTCAGCTCTGATCGCCATTTTCCAACATTTTCTTCTTATTTTCTAGATCAGAGGTCCCATTAGTCTTAGATCTGGCCTACTAATCAAGTTCTGATTAACCTACAAAGGTTGTTTTTTGTTTTTAAACTTGAATAACTTGGCCAGCATTTAAAATTCAGACCTTCCTTCCTGAAGCCCAGTAGCAGCCAGGGCCCATGTGAGGAAGATGGTGGACAGGACAGGAAGGCAGCTCAGAGGCAGTACAAGGAGGTTATCTAAGCAGGGTGGTGCCCCACAAGGGTCAAAGTCCACACAAGGAGGGCATCTGAATGGGGCAGTGACAGGGACGTTGGGAGACTGGCTATGTACGAGGGAACTGAGTAAATAAATATGTTGAAGATAATAGAAGTCAGATTTCTCACTGTTGGAAAAAAGATAAAAAATATGGAAAGGGAAAAAGCTAGAATGAATGCTGTAGTTTTGAGCTAGAATTGGAGGTATTTGTATGAACTCCTGATTTTCAATATAGAGATACAGAAATAAATATAGATGTAAATGTGTATGTATGTGTACATGTACGTATATCTATACACGTATTCCCCAGGTATGTCCATTGCAAGGACCTGATAGCAGAGACACCCCAGAACAATGAGCATATCTAGCACCTGGATCTGTATGTCTAAATACTATCCTCCATTAAAAGCAACCACTGCTCCTTGGAGAAAATAGTTGATTCCAGGCTGGGACAGAGAAAGAAGATGAGCCTGAAATATCCTGTGCTCAAAGAATGAGGGGACATGTCAGAAGGACACAAAAGTCAGCTTAAACGGGCTCCCATTAGCCAAATCTGGGACAATTTGAGCATCAAAATAAATCATGATAGTAAAGGATTACAACCCATTAAATAACACAAGAATCCTTAAGTCCACATTGGTGTATATAAACAAATGAATAAATGAACAGGATGGAGAGAAAACTCTTCCTGGGAGTAAAATGCCAAATAATAAAAGTAAAAGGAAATGATGGAATTAGAAAATCATTATTCCACAACCATCATAGTAATAATTCATTCAGGCAAGAAACATCAACGAATATTAAAATGGTTGGGTGAAAGTGAGATGAAGAATGAGATTTTACATGGTCTCAAAGTATCTCTTCATAAGATAGTTATTAATTACAGAGGGGAAAACAAAGTAAATTTACAGTGGAGAAATCTGCCAGACATTGTCTTAAGTGCTCAAACACCACTAAATAGTTATCATGTACCATCAGACCTAATGCAATGAAAACATGGCATAACTTCTGTGACATTCTGGCCAAAAATACATAACCTCAGTCTAATTATGAAAAAATATCAGACAAACACAAATTGAGGGTCATTCTACAAAATGACCGGCCTAAATCTTAAAAAATGCTAAAGTCATGAAAGTCAAGAAAAGACAGAGTAAATGTTCCAGATCAAAGGAGACGGAAGAGACTTGACAACTAAATATAACATGTGATCCTGGATTTGGAGCTTTCTGTTATTAAGAACATTATCAGGACAGATGGCCAAATTTGACTGTGGTCTCTAGAGGAAAGTTAAAAGGCAGTTCTTCATACTACTTTTACAGCTTTCCCATAACTTTGAAATGGTTTCAAAATTAAAAGTTTACAAACAAAAGTTTCTCAATAAAAATCTAGATTTTTCAGCCTCCCTTAAAAAACCAGAAGATCTGGCAATACCACCTGTCTTGGTCCATTCAGGCTGCCATAACAAAATACTATAAACTGCATAAACTGTGTAGCTTACAAATAACAGAAATTTATTTCTGTTGGCTGGAAGTCCAAGGTCAAGATGCAGGCAGACAGACAGCACCTTCCTGCTGTGTCCTCACAGGGTGGAAGGGGTGAAGAATCCCTCCAGGGCCTCTTATATTAAAGGGCACTAATCATATTCATGAGGGCTCCACCCTCATGACCTAATCACCTCCCATAGTCCCCATCTCCTAATACCATCACCTTGGGGGTTAGGATTTCCACATATGAACTTGGGAGGTAGCATTCAGACCACAGCACTACCACATATCAATGACTTGCTGCCAATGAATAGTAAATACCCTTTAGGTGGGACATGTGATCTCTGGTTCTCCAGTCTCCACTGGGCCAAACTTTTCAGTGAATGTCCTTGTAAGCATTTCAGTTTGTGACTTGTGATTTAGATCTTCACATATCAAATTTCACCCTATTTAGGTCTGAAAGCTTCAACACAATTTCTTTATTAGAAACACCTAAAAGAGGTAATACTCTACTAGGTAGCCCACAGCCAAGTTTGCAAACACTGCTCCTAACACATACTGAAATTTACATGATGAATTAAGTCTTGAACCTCCCTCTTAATGAAATCAAGATTTAGGAAAAGCTCTCATGACAGAATTTCATAGCCTTGACCTTTAAACAAAAAAAAAAAAAGAAAGAAAAAAGGAATGGGGGGAGGTTCCTACTTTCTTTGTAAATCTGAAACCCTGAGCTCTATTTCACCACCTATGATGAACAGAGAACTATATGCCCTTTTCTCTCTTTTTTTGCCACATTAAAATATATATAGATTACCTTTATTCTGACAAATTCTTAAATCAAAAACTACATTTCCTTTTTGCTTTCTAATATTTCTCAGTGAGAATCAATACAATGATAATAATTTGTCTCAAACTCTTGAATGTGTATGTGAAGGAAGGGTTTCAATGTTAGACATATAGTAGGTACTTGATAAGCACTAACCGAAACTACAGCTGAGTTGCTCGTTCAGGAACTTTACCAACATGGAACTCAAACAAGAAGGAAAGCAGAGTTAGTGGGGTCTTTGGAACTCTCTTCCCCCATTCAAAAACTACTTTGTTCTTCTATGAGTACGACACCATAGTCAGAGTTATAGAGAGTCTAGATGTAGGACAGTTAAACCGAACCCCCCAACCCCGCTTTGATAGTTACATGTTCTAACAAACATTCACTACAAATGTACAAAGTAAGGGAGGCCAACTCTCAGGAGACCCTGGCTGTGGCACATGTTTTATCTTTCAGCAGGTGTAACCATTCAGCGCCAGAAAGGCCTGGAGGATGAAGAGACAGCACCTCAGGCAGCCTTGCCAGGAGCCACTGGGTTTCATCCTGGCCTGACCCAGAAAAATCTTATGGAAGAGAACAAGAGGCCCAAGAGCTCTCTGATCTGCTGTCAACCAGCTGTGGCCGGGAGACTGCCAAAGTGCTGCAGTGACTAGGCAGCGCCCTGCGGAGCCGTCTGGGAGGGGATTACCAGCCTGATCCCCTGGTCTTCAGAGCCAGAAATGACTCAAACTTCACAAACAGCAAGGGCCTGCCAGGGAGGGTGACAATGAGCACTGGAGAGGGTTTTCTTCCCCTTGTTGGTGTCTCTTCCCCCTCTCGCTGCTATGGCAGATTCTGGACAGTGTGCAGCCTGTGAGGTAATCTGAATTCCTTGGCAACCGGCAAGTACCTGAATTCTTTCAAAACCACAGGAATCCAGCAGAGAAAAGGTAAATATCCCTGCGGAGCCAGTGTTAATTAGCAAGGAAGGCTACTGAAGAAGTAACTGGGGGTGGGGAGGAAGGCAGAGGCATTACAAATGCGTTGGGATCTTTTCTGAATTTCCACTGAATAATATGGCTGAGGAGAAGAGAAGCGGTCCCTGACCCGGGCCTTCTCAGTGTCCCATCTTCCCAACTCACCGTGCGGATGGAGCTCTCCCAGTTCCCTGGACGGGCACTTTCATTTCCCCGCAGCTGACAGTGTTACCTATCTTTGGGTCTCTGATATGATAGCACATTTGGTTCTCAACTCAATTTTGTTTTAACTTTTATCAACTTTTACTTTTTCCTGTTTCAGTGAAAATTTGGCTATTAGCTTTGTCTCAAAAAGGGCCTCGTCAAATCATTTAGACCACATACTGGATCCACCTAAAACTGTAAAATCCAGAACAAAGTCTTTTTGGATTCCACCTCTGTCAGGAAAAAAACCCTACACCATTTTGGTAGAGAAAAGCACCCCTCTCTGGAAACTTGAGTGCCGCCTGCTGGTGTAAAACAGTAACATACACATGAAACTCAAAAAGTTGGAAGGGGCAAAACACTGGACTCAAACACCACTAAGACAATTTTTTAAAATGCCTCAATATTGTGCCCACGTATAAGAAAATAATGAGAGTCTTTCTACTTCCTATGTTAATAAAGCAAGTTCAACTGAAATGATTAATCTAGAAAGAAACTGTTTAGGGTATTTTTCTTTAGTAAATTTAAGAAGGTAAAGAATTTACACAAAATTCTTACTTCACAGAACCGTCTTATGAAATGAACTTAATCTTTCAGTCATTAAACATGAATTATGAGGCCCCAAACAAAAGCGATATGGGATAAGACCCTTCTTTTCTGAAGAAGGAAACCAATTACACTGCCACCAGTTCTGTCTCTTTAGGAAAGATTATGGTTTTCCTTTTAGAGCCTCAAAGTAAAATGGTCTAGTGATCTCATCCCAAACTGATTACCTTCAGTAATGTCTATTTAAAACAAACGTGACCCAAGATTACTAGAGGCTGCAGATCTGGAGATGCTGTAGACTACTGTTGAAAGTAATGACACAGTCGAATGGCTTCTGAGGATTAAAAAGCAGGAGATGAGTGCCAAGATACACAGTGGTTAAGACATAGGGACTTAGGCACATGGAAGTTATTGTGCAGAGCAATGCACCCTTGCAGGACTGGCTAATAGCCTGTCATAATGTACTACTGTAAAGCTTTTATATTCGCCTATACTTTTAAGTAAAATAGCCAAAACCCTGAAAATTCTTTTTCTTTTGGTTCAGTTTAACCCAAATTTTTACAAATTTGTTTTCCAAATTATTCTAAGAAAGAGCATCCATTTTTAAAATATATAAATATATATACTCAGTTCCTGCTGGAGGCAAGAGAAGAGTTACTCAATTCAGTGGGTTCTGACTTCCAACACACACCCAATGGCCAAAGCACTAGCACATCTGTAATAAGTTCTATAATAAATATTAGCATTGTTCTCATTTTGCATCTGAGCCATTGAGGCTTTAAAACAATGCCGAATTTTACCAATAGCAAGGGCTATTAATACTGTGGGTGAAATACCTTTGGAATAATTTGCAAAACATATTGCTATGATATCCTTGAGACACAGTAAGCATAAACTTGAGGTCTTTTTCCTATTCAAGAAGCCCAGTTCCATATATACACTACCAAATGTAAGGTAGATAGCTAGTCGGAAGCAGCCGCATAGCACAGGGAGATCAGCTCGGTGCTCTGTGACCGCCTGGAGGGGTGGGATAGGGAGGGTGGGAGGGAGGGAGACGCAAGAGGGAAGAGATATGGGAACATATGTATATGTATAACTGATTCACTTTGTTATAAAGCAGAAACTGACACACCATTGTAAAGCAATTATACCCCAATAAAGATGTTAAAAAAAAAAAAAAAAGTCCAGTTCATGGCAGGACATAATGGGTTCCCGAGAAGGGTACAGGAGACAAGCTGGGTGAGGATGAGTGGAGGGAGAAGGGTGAAGAAGCTCATGATACTCAGGAGGGAAAAGCTCAGACATCTCATATTACCAAATGGAAAATCCTCAGCATCTTATATACCTGAGCACAAGTAAGAGGCCTTATTTCACCTTCTTTTTGTTCTAGATAATATGGAGACTCAGCTTTTATCCCTGTATTTCAAAATATGAGAGCACATGTGTCTAAAAACACTACAGAAAACTTCTTTCCGATGAAAATCTGATTAGTAGTTTGTGCCCAGATACCTGGTTCAGCCCTTTACCGAAACACTGAGAAATATTTTAGTTTTCTCCCTCCTCAATTTTCAAGGAACCAGAGGCCAGAACTAGGGAGCTTCCGTGGCTTTCAGTGTTCCCAGGGTTCAAACTCAAATCTTAGTTAAGAATGTGACCACGCTTATAGATGCTGTCACTGCCACCTAGAGGTGAAGGGAAGACATAGCTCAACCAGGTAGAATCTGGTTAACTGTTCTCACCCTCTGACTCTAGTCACACGATGCATCAAAAAATTTTAGTCTAAAAAATAATTAAAATAATTGAAATCCGATTCTAAAAGAACAGTTTTCAGAGTACAATGATATGTCTTAAAGCACCTACACCTAAATGTGTAGCCTTCTTTTATCCACGGTATTTCCCATCTTTGATGTACATTTCCTAAAATACAGCAACATATATAGGCCATGCTTTTTACAGATGCAAACCACCTCCTAAACTGCTATGCTCTATAAGAAAACTATGCATAAAAAGAACTTCAGAGTTCTTTGGTAAAATATATATATAAGTTTCGTGGGGGAAATACATACATATATATATGTTAGCTTTGTGAGAGAAAAGAACACAAGCACACCAAAGTTATATACTTATTTTAAACAATTTAAAGGGTCTAAAAAAAAACACTGTCAGCTGTAAAATCCTATGGATATGGGAAATGAAACTTCAAACTATTATAAGTTGAACTTTATTTTGTAAGTCACACTACCTTAAAACTTAAGAAGTACCTCAAGAAAAACAGAAATATATATATATATATATATATATATTATACATATATATATATATAAAATCACTGTAAAATATATTACAGACTTGTAGGTGAAAAAAAAAAAGCAGCTAATGCCCACCCTAAATACAAGAGGGCATGAAACAGCTCAAGCCTTCAGCTTTGGAGTCAGATCCAGGGGTTCAAATTCCCACTCCACCATCCACCTGCTGGAGACCTCAGGGGAGTGACTTCAAGTTCCCTTACGCAAAGCCTCAGTTTCCGCAACTGCAAAAATGCATCCACTTCAAGGCTGTTGTGAGCATTAAAATAAATGCTTGGTATATAACAAGTATACACACGTGAGATTTCTTTTTTTCCTTTTTAGACCATTTGTGAACAACAGTGGCCCTAGGATCTTCATACCAATTGCCATTGCACGAAAATACAACGTGACCCTGGATCCCTGCTGGGAAAGGTATGTGTTTACATACAAATGCTTGTTCATATGCGTGGATATGCAAGAGAGACTGTGAAGTGATAAGACTGATTTCTGTAATCTGAAGCCCATCTGGGGACACTCTTATTTTCCTGAGTTGAATACAACAGAAAAAACAACCTGATCTTAATACACTCTCTAACGGGTCAACTCGAATAAACACCCTCCGCTCAAGGTCTCTTACCTAGCCAGTCCTTCTTCATAGAGATAGATGACAAGAGGATCATAGGAAGTCACAAGCACATAGAGGCGCACATCAAACTTGAAATCTGGGGAAAAAATTGGGGTACACAGGAAAAGCTAAGCTCATTTGTCTTCTGTTACAGAAGGAATGGTACAATGTAACAAAGAAATATGAAAGACAGTCCTCCTCTCCCCATGAAACATACACTGCCCACACACCTTCCCTTTTGAGGATAAATAATAATTATACCATACAGTGTAAATATATTTATACATGCATTGTACAGTTTTCATATATATTTGTTTCTGTTATAACATATAAAGCACTTTCTTTTTTATTATGTAAAAATCAACTTCAAAATAATACCGTGAGGTAGGTAAGGAACCAGCTTTATCTCTGGAGCCACAGTTGCCAAGAATTTCACACTAGCTTAATAAAGACTTAATAGAGAAGACTATAAAAACGTTAAAAAAAAAAATTTAGTACGATCTAACCCAATCCAGTCAAAGACCTAATCACAACTCACCATCTATGAGCAGGGGGTTGTTAATGTAACGGGAGACCAAGATGTTCTCTTCCAGGGAAATCTGGTTTGGCTGTTGAGTTAAGAGAAAAATGAAAGGTAGAAATGCAAAGGAATCCTGACTTACAATAAAGAAGCAAAGTTCTTAACCATTTAGAAATGATAATATGGAAAACTAAAACTCTAAGAAAAGGTTTCCTCTAAGCTGCCCATATATTAATTGGTCATATAACACACCACTTCCATAAACACTGTGAGAATCCAATTATAATGGGGGAGAACAAAATTTACACAGCACCTCTCATAATAGAGCCTAAACAGGTTTAAAGATTTATATACATGATATTAAATATTTACATGCCAAGAAAATAAAAGCTACTTAAAAAATAAATTAAAACTTGCTTTCTCGCAAATTTAAAGCATGTTGGATATTTTAGAATACTGCCATTATTCTTACAGGAAGGCTTTCATCAAGTTGCTCAGAGAACTTACAGATCTTTCCACAATGGATCCTGGCATTTTCCCTGTGAAATGGGATGGATATTTCACTGATTCACTCAATAGTGCTTGCTATGCCACTGCAGGTAAAGAATGAACTAGATCTTTTAAATACTTTTTTCAATGAAGAAGAGCTGTCTATACAATAAATAATGATGAGTATGATGGGTATTGTATAAGGCACTGGGGATACAGTGATGAATAAAACAAATGCAATCCCTGCCCTCACAGAGCCCAATCCCTACTCCCAAAGAGTTTGATGTTTGAGTAGAGGGACAGCAAATATATAGAATTTAAAAGAACACAAAGCAGCACACCTACAAGTGCAAGATGTGAGGCTGCAGAGTGGAAAGAGATCTGGAAGAACAATTCCAAGTGAGACTAAAACAGAAAAATCAGTTGTCAGTCACCACAATCCATACAGGACAAAAGAACTCCAAAAGGGAAGTGGCTATAATGATAATTGTGATGATAATAGCTATAGTAGCAACAACAGAAACACTATTAACATTTGCAGGAAAAAAATTTTAATAAATGTACTGAAGATTTGCTATGGGCCAACACTGTTCTACTCCTTCACAAGCATTATTTCATTTAATCTTCATCCAACCCATGGTAGGTATAACATCATCCAAATATTACAGATGAGGGAAGAGTCAGAGAGGGTTAGGAACCTGCTCAAAGTCACACAGCTAATAAGTGACAGAGCACCATTTGAACCCAGGCAGTCTGCCTCAGAAGCTTAATTCTTAAGCACTATTTGCACCTTTTCTCACAAGTTCTGACCTAAAATAACTGTCCAAATTTAAAAGTTTGCCTTTATAATAATGCATTTGCTATCCCAAGTACTAAAGTCATAAAATAAGGATAATTGTGTGACCCATAACATCATACACAACCACAAGAAGCAACTCCAGGGTCAAGATAATGAGATTCTTCTCTCATTTCCCACTGTTGCCATCTCAAACTCAGAACACGACATCACAAGCCATCTCTATGCATCATACGGACACTACAACATCACTACTGATTCATACTCTGGACTTGGTGACCCACACCATTTCCTGATCGGTTTCTCACATGTACTATCTCTATTTTGAGTCAGCTTAGTATGTAAGAACTGAAGCAATCACAGTACAAAGAAGCAAGCTGCAGGCTGTGTTCCAAACCTAAAATTAAACAATTGCAGCTCTTTTTCTACTAAGTAACACCTACAGGCTACAACAGATATGTAACCACCCAACTCTACTTGGAACCAGAGACTACAATGGTAATGGTCTTCACTCTATGACACATCTAACATCCATGCCCATTTCCTCTTTTCTCTTCCTCATCATATACATTTGTCCTTTGAATTATGCAGAACATAATCTCTTACATTATTTCGGCAACTTTAGTATTTGTTCAATGGTCTATACCTCTCATTTCTATCTGCACTAGTAATTAAATTGTAAGCTCGCTGAAGAAAATAATTGTTTGAGTACAGTTTTTTTGTATAGTGTAATATACTGATAAGCAACTAACGAAATTTTTGACATCTTCAAGCCTGTCTCCTTTTCATCCATCCCCAATTAACTCATTTTAAATGATGTCAATTCTAAGCTGAAATTGCCCTCCCAAGTACGCTAAAGCAAGAATCTGAATTGTTGGGAAAGTTGGAAACCCATCCATTTTTCTAATTCAACTTTAAGATTAAAGCTCATGGTATCTGTTAAGTTATTGTAAGGTAGACTGGTACAGTGGTTAAGAGGGCACGCTCTGGAATCAGCAAGACGAGTTAAAATCTTCACTTACTATGGAAGGAATAGTAACTACCTCTTAGGGTTCTCATAAAATCTAAGTGAGATTATATTTGGAAGGTACAGTGGTAGGCACATAGTAGATGCTCAAGAAATATCAGTTAGTATTATTATTGCAAACTCAATAGTATCTATGTGGTTCCATTTACTGAGTTCCACAACTCAACAGCATTCCTCACGACGTGCCACACACCATTCTGCTCAGAGCAGTGCACTGATTTATAATGAAGATACATAAGCATTAGGAGATGATCCCTATTCCTGAAAAGCCTTTAAGGAGTGGCAGCACCTGGCACACAACAGGGACTCCCTAAATATTTGTTGAACAATGAGAAAAAATGGAGAGCACCTAAGAAAACATAAACAAATAGAAACAAGAGAGCTGTACGGAATTATATTCACAAATATAGGAGTGAACAGAGCGACCAAAATACTCTCCTGATACTTCCAAATCTCAGAGAAAACACTAGTATTTTATTTACCGTGAATAATGTGTGAGACAAGGATGATTAAATTTGACTTCCATAAATCAAATTCATACCTTAATCAGAAAACACCAGATCTTTTCCCTCCTTGATTTGAATATACTAAATTTGGAAAATATGGCATTTAGTCACAGTTACTGCAGGATCTGGAGCAAACACAACTCTGTTCCTTTATGCTGTATTTTCAGAGCTAAAAAGCACATCATTAAGAGACCACGTTCGCCAATCAGCCAAGATGCTTCCATCTGTAGGAGCTCACACTCCTCTCTCTACAGTATTACATAAAAGTAATGCTTCTTCTATCCTTTATCCTATTCTCATAATGGTAAAAGTTGATATTTGCAGATATTTTCCAAAAGGTTATGACTATTAGGGGGAATTTTTAATAAGAGGCCCTCTCATTCCTCACTCCAGTGGGAAGACAGGGAAAGATGTTTTTATTTGGCCCTCACACCTAACTCTGCCCTCCCTCCCCCGTCCCTCACTGGAGCACTCCCTCTCCCTCCCCCTTGAATCTAAAAGGAAAGCAGGCAGCAGCCTTGGAAAGAGTTACTTCATCCAGTTGGCTAATGGGTCACATATTCCATGGGAAAGGATCCAGGTATGGAAAAGAGGAGATGGTTAGGCCTTGTGTGTAAGGAGGGAGAGAAGAGTATTAACTGCATGGTTTGTAGGTCTGGGTAAAAGGTGATAAAATTCCAGATTTGGAGAAAAATGGGAATATTTTGCCATTATGTCCACATGTTGCCAGCTCCCCTGGTGCTTGCTGGCATCTTCCCAGGCTTCTGTCTGGCACTTCCACCAAAGACCTCAAAGAATCAGACTCATTCCAAAGCTTCACTGAGCGGGAGGTGGCAGGCAAAGGGTCCTGCCAAGTACTTTGATCTCTGCAGGGGGTCTCTAGGGAGTCAGCCCAGGGAGATGTGGGAGGGAGAAGGAGAGCCTGCCAAATACATTCTCTAAAGACTTGTCACCCCCTTTATGAGACGCGCGCGGCATCCAGGGAAGAGTCAGGGCATGGGGTTCTCAGCCCCACCAAAGAAAGTTTAACTTTTCTATTCTTTATGATGTTGGTTTTAAAATAACAAATCACCAGGGCAAAAGAGCATTCCAAGAGAAAAAAGTCCCAGATGAGCTGGGAATAGATCCTATTCTTTTTGACTCATGTCTAAGAAAATAAAAAGCAAACTTGTACCATAGTTGACTTTCAATAGCAATTCCATTTGGCAGCTAAAACCCAAACCCAAACTAGTGCCGTCTATGAGATTCAAACAACACTGGAGCTCCTGGCACGAAGCTGAAGGAAAAGCTGTTGGACAGGAGCCTTCACACCAAGGTCAGAAGAGAGACAAGAAAAGAGAGATCCAAGGCTTATGAGCAGTGCCTTCTGTCACAAGAGACCCAGGGCAAAAGGCCTCCAGAGTGACCCAGGGTCAGGTAGCAGAACTTGGAGCCTGGGCTTGGGGCTGTATAGCTACTGCCTCAGAACCAGATCCTATATTTCTTCAGCATGAAAGGTCTGGCCATCAGTGTTTACTGTACAGTTTTTAGTCCAGACTGAATTTAAGGATTTTCCCATATGAAAGACCCCTTAGAAAGTTAGTTTCTGCACATATAGGAAATAGCTCAGACCATGTGAAAAGAAAGAGAACTGGGGAATTTGGAATGGTGTACCGACCACACACATGACATATCCGCCTCCCCCTCTTCCCTTCCAGAGTCCTACCTAAGGACAGAGCCTCTCACTGCCGTGGCCTCTCCCACTGCAGAGCACAGGCTCCGGACGCACAGGCCCAGCGGCCATGGCCCACGGGCCCAGCCGCTCCGCGGCATGTGGGATCCTCCCGGACCGGGGCAGGCAGACTCCCAACCACTGCGCCACCAGGGAAGCCCCAGAGTAGACATTTTTAAACGTCTGAAATGATAACAAGGCTAGAAAACAGTTAAAGGAGCCAACAAAAGACCAAAGGTTTAAGGAAATCCTGAAAGACAGAAAGAAGATGGGAACAGGTTGAGGAAACAGAGCAGAAGAAGCCCCAGCCCCAAATATCAGAGGTGAGAGTGATCTTCCCAAGGAGACTTCTGAGAAGTTCCAAGCTGGCAGTGAACTAACACAAAGAGCAAGAGTGAGCCAACAGACAAGAATCAGATAATTAATTAACAAACAGCATTTAAAACAGTGCGGCCGGGCTTCCCTGGTGGCACAGTGGTTGCGAGTCCGCCTGCCGATGCAGGGGACACGGGTTCGTGCCTCGGTCCGGGAAGATCCCACGTGCCGCGGAGTGGCTGGGCCTGGGCCTGCGTGTCCGGAGCCTGTGCTCCGCAATGGGAGAGCCCACAACAGTGAGAGGCCCGCGTACCGCAAAACAAAACAAAAAAAACAAAAAAACAGTGCGGCCAACAGGCCTTCTCCAACAACCAAAGCTTTGCCCTCAGGATGAAACCTAACAACTGTCTCGGGAGGACATCTTCTGCGGGTGGGCACAGGGATCCCACAGAGGAGTGGAACTTGAGGCCACTGCATCCCTACAGCAGACACAAAAGTGAAGAGAGAGGAAAGGTAGCACCGCCCCACAAGGAAATCACCAAACTCTTCCTTTACAGCCACAATCAGGCAGGGCCCTATTTTGGCAAAGGGGGAAGGAAGAAGCACGCTTCCTCACCCACATCCACCTAAGGTGCGGCCTGACGTTCAACACACTTTGCCCTCACACAAAGCACAGTCAGCCTCCTATCCAGTGAGATGTTATTAGGGAATCAGTCCTACACAACAGTAGGGGAAACCCAGGCCAGCTGTCAAAATTTCAATCAGTCTAGTCTTGTTCATCAGTGTGACTCAACATCTAAGGTCACTGAAATTGAGAAAACCCAAAAGCAGGAAAAAAAAACACAATCCCATGAAAATTTGTGAAACAAAAGAGAACTTTAAAAAACTTTCAATTCATACCCTCAGAAAGACCCACCAGCAAACTGCATCTATTAAGCAACAACAGGCTGTTATCACACACACACAAAAAAGGCAAATGAGAAAGTAAGAGTTTTTGTACCTTATGATAGCCAATATAGAAACACAGTAGATGGAATGAATGATAAAATGGACAGAGCTCCAACTGGTGATCCAGAAGATAAAGATGGGAAAAGACAGAGAATTTAAAATGAGAGAAAAGTTGACATGAAGAAAACACCCAGAATGCCTCAAAAATAAGTTCCAGAAGCAGAAGCATAGACAAAAAATGAATGATTTTTCCTGAACTAAAGAAAAACATTAGCTTCTAGATTGAAAGGGCTGACCGAATGTCCAGGAGGAAGAATGAACAAAGACCCAGACTGAAATATTGGTTAAATTTCAGAATTCCCATCTGTAAAGTTTCTACTGAGTTTAAATTTTTTACTCAACTTATAGATAAAGCAGAAAAACTGAATCATAGTTACTGAAGAGAATGTAAATATCATAAACCTTTAAAATATAAAAATAATAAAAAGTAATCAAACCTAGAGATGTACTGTGGAAGGAAGGGTAGGAGGTGATACGAGTGCAGTGAATATCAAACTGAGAATTAGAAACAAAATGTAAAGTTGAGAAAAGAAGAAACATAAATTAACTGTATTAGGTTACTATTGTTGTTAGTCTAGCCAGTGAGACTGGGGTTGGGATTTTATTTCATTTACTCTGTATATGTATTCAACTGAAAAACAACTTTTAATGAGGATTTTGCAAAGAATCAAGATATTAATGACTTTTGGGGCTTCCCTGGTGGCGCAGTGGTTGGGAATCTGCCTGCTAAGGCAGGGTTCGAGCCCTGGCCTGGGAGGATCCCACATGCCGCGGAGCAACTGGGCCTGTGAGCCACAACTACTGAGCCTGCGCGTCTGGAGCCTGTGCTCCACAAGAAGAGAGGCCACGATAGTGAGAGGCCCGTGCACCGCGATGAAGAGTGGGCCCCACTCGCCACAACTAGAGAAAGCCCTCGCAAAGAAACGAAGATGCAACACAGCAAAAATAAATAAATACATTAATAAACTCCTACCCCCAACATCTAAAAAAAAAAAAAAAAAAAGGGAATTCAATGAAACTTATGGAGGCCTCATTCTCCCTTCTAATCCTAATTCTTAGAAAAAAAAGATATTAATGACTTCTGAAAAAAGAAGAGGATGAGGAGGAAGAAGAAGAGGGGGGACGGAGGGGAACAGGAGCAGCAAGGATGCCATATGCCAGATTAAGGTTAATTTGCCTGATGACCTTGAGGGCAGGAACCCACAGTTCTCCTCACAATAGGAACTAAATGTATGTGCTACCAATTAATGCTTAGCGCCAAGGAATTAGCAAGGCAGAATGCTGAAAGCAGGAAAAGTACCTCTTTTCTGCTGACACCAAAGGCTGCCCTCCCCCCAAATTCAATCCAGTGACTTATTAGCCATAGAGTAACTGTTGGCATGGGAGGAGGTTACTGCCAGTAAGGTGAACAGTAGACTCATACCCCTCCTCAAATCACACTTCTGAATGCAGACTTAGTAGCTAAGACAAAGGGTGAAGCAGGGAAGAACAAACACGGGGCTAAGTATGCCACCCGCTGCATACTTACATTGTTGATCAGGTAGACACCCCGCCCCCTGGAAGAGGCCACTGGTTTTACTATCCAAGGTCCCCGGTCCTTTGAATATGAATCTGCTCAAAATATTGGGAGACAAAATAGGGGAGAAAGAAACAAAGAGAAAGAAGGGACATGAGTTTATTATCTTAAATTTTAACACTAGTTATCTACTCAGGTACCCAAAGAATTTTCCAAATTTCTAAGTGGAGGACAGCAACTAAAATAACCTGTATTTTTGGACTAGCCTTAAAAATGAAAACAGAGAAAGAGAGAGAAAGGAAAGAGAGGAAGAGACGGCAATATTACATATTATATTTCTTCCACCATTTCCCCTCTTGAATGAGAGGATGAAGACAAAATAAGGCAAATATCTGGATGTTAGTCTATTACTGTCACAAACAACCTTCACGAATCTTTGATATCCTCACCTCCTTTAACTAAAGGACCTCCAGAGGCTCACACTGCAGACGGTGACAGTGTTGAGTCAAAGTCCAGATCCCCTAATATGGTTACTTTCCTCAAGCAGTTTCTCTGAACTTATAAGAAAAAATCGCCTTAAATAAAACAATGTGAGTGGCAAGGTAGGACAATAATTGACAAGTGGTTAAAAGGTGCCCTTTACTTTTGTTCCTTTCCCAGGTTCAGGTTTACACTTCAAATACCTTTGGATCATAGGAAAAGAAAACACACAACCAATATGAGGAGTCCCAGAGGCCTGCAGATGGCTCCGGCCTCCACTTAGGGAAGGTCTGTGGACCCGAGAGAGAAGCAGAGACAAAGGACTCGCCCTCTGATAGGAGCCAAACTGTCTTTTCAAGGCCTTCCAACAGGAACTTGACTTTGTCGGTGCCACAAACCATTTCACCAGGAGAGAAAGAAGACCTCCTTGTCCTCTCTCCGCCACCCTCCCCTGCTTTTTCCCTTGATGTGACCTCACAGAATTAGAAAAAATGTCATGTGCCACACAGAATGTAAAACTCCGTGAGCGATTCCACTTCTGGGAATGTATTCTCTAGTCCTGCTCACACACATTGGAACATTCTTTGTGAAAGATTATTCAGTGCTGCATTTTAATAGCAAAAGACGTCCATCAACTAATTAAATACACTATATTGTATCTATAAGAGGGCCAGCAAACAATTTTTTGGTAAAAAGCCAGATAATAAATAGCTTAGGCTTTGCAGGCCATGCAACTATTCAACTCTGTCATTGTAGCTCAAAAGCTACCATAAACAATACGTAAACAAAGGAGCATGGCTGGGCCCCAAAAAACCTTTATTTATGGACACTGAATTACCTATGATTTCCACATGCCACGAAATTTTCTTCTTCTTCTTTTTTTTTTTTTTTGCGGTACGTGGGCCTCTCACTGCTGTGGCCTCTCCCGTTGCGGAGCACAGGCTCCGGACGCGCAGGCTCAGCGGCCATGGCTCACGGGCCCAGCCACTCCGCGGCATGTGGGATCCTCCCAGACCTGGGCACGAACCCGTGTCCCCTGCATCGGCAGGCGGACTCTCAACCACTGCGCCACCAGGGAAGCCCTATTCTTCTTTTGATTTTTTCAAACATTTAAAAATGTAAAAATCATTTTTAGCTCATGGGATACATATAAAAAGGCATAGGACCAGATGTGACACAAGGGCTGTAGTTTGCAGACACCTGCTCTACATAATGAAATATTAAGCAGACACACAAAATAAGAATGTTATTAAGGAACAGAGAGGGAATGAGCTCAAAGAGACTGTTGAGTGTTAAGAAGTAAAGTGCAGGGCACTGGGTATTGTATGCTCCCGTCTGTTCACATACACACTCAAGCCATGTGCCAGTAAGTGCAGAGAATACCTCTAGAAGGATATGTAAAAATACTAATAACATTGATCACCTCTGGGGAGAACTGGATGACTGAGGAAAAGAGGAGAAAAAAAGCTTTTCACCGATTATTGTTTTGTATTTTTTGGGGGTACCGTGACTATATTACCTACATAATTTACATAATTTTAATTTCCTGCAATAGATGGCATATTTATATAAGACAAATTAAATCTCTATAAACTGAAGTCACTGAATAGATGTATATATATACACTTTATATATTTTTCCCATTTTGCCATTTTCCCCAAATTCTGAGGATACAATAGTTTGAGAACAAAAGGAACAATTAATAGTAAAATAAAACAAAAAATTTACAAAAATTTTTAAACTTCATTCATTCATTCAATACTTCTAAGTACCCAACCCGTGTTACGCAGTTTGCTAGTATGGGGCATGCAGAAGTGAAAAGACAGCAGAAAGGCAGGCCCTAAGCAAGTAATTAGACACACTGAGCTCACAAAGAGGAAGTGAGGGAGCTACATACAGCAATGCCGAAGAAAATGACCAGACCTGTCTGAAGACAGTACCCCCTGTGGTGACAAGCGGACGCAGAAAATGCTCATTTTCAGAAAAGGGAAAATCTAGCTAAATGCAACTTCTGCCATCTAACGCGTTTAATAAATCTTACTTTGTGGACTAGGCTTATCAGAAGTTTCTGCTGCTTCTGGTGCTTCACTTTTATCATGTTCTTGAAATTCTAAATATCAAAAAAAGTGTCTTCATGCTAGGCCTTTCTCCTTGATTTGTTGTATTTCAGAACAAGGACTGATTTCTTTCACAGGTTCCAAAAATGTGGGTCAGAAGCAAAGCAAGGCAAAGAGCTTGGCAGCCTGTCAGGATGAAGATATACTCGACAGGGCCTGCAACTCTTTCTGGTACCTTCCAGGTCCTATGGTGGCAGCATGCTCAATCTAATGGAAAGAGCACTGAACCAGGAGGAGGAAGATCTGAGTTCTAATTCTGACTTTTCTAATTCTGGGCAATTTGCTTAAATTATCCAGTCTCATCTTTAAAATGAGAGGTTTAGTCATTTGAATTATGAGATCTCTCATAATCCTACTATTATGATTCTATAAATTTATTGATTACTTTGAAATCCAGTCATCTGAAATTAACTGGCTGACATTAAAGTTTTGCTCATTCCTTAGAATTATTTCTATCTCTATTGCAACTAAAGATGACCAGAGGATGCAATTCTGGGCAGTGAGAAGTAAACAGAAACCTGCCAGGGCGTGGGGGGGAAAGTTCTGCTTTTCTGATATTGGCGCCACCCTGCCTTCCTTGTTTCCTTCTCCCTGCTTAGAAAGCTGTCCACGGCTGGGGAGTGGCTGCAGTTGGCAAGATTCTTAGTTAGGTTCTTCGGGGTCACAGACCTCCGACTGTACTATATACTGTTACACTAGCAACAGTGGCACCAGGAATCTAGCAAGATCTGGTCTGTATATTCCAAGCCCCACATTTTGATTACTGGGAACAGTTTGGCAGTATCCAGGCTTTCACATCTCTTGAGGCAGTGTCTGGTCTCTGGGCTAGGTCTCTACAGAGATGGATTTCAGGTTTTCTCTTATTAGAACAAAAAGCTATACAAATTCATGAGATCCGCCTTGGCTGGTCTCTCTAGAGTCTTCAGGCAATCCTCAGGTCTGTTCCTTATCAGTTCCCTTTCAAAGGCTCTTTCGCAGGCTAGTCACATGCCTTTCTGCTCCTCTCAAACACCCAAACCCATCCCTAGGCCCCTCATTCCTGGTATGTGCCCTCATCACCCTCTCACCAAGAAGGCTGGGAATCTGTAACATAAACCCACTCACCTGCTTTCCTCTCCATCTAAAATGTTACCTGGATGACCATTTAGCCTTCTTCTTTCTCTCCTTTTAGGGGAGAGACACGCCCTCCTTCCTGAAGTTCACCCTTCTACTTGGGCTCTTGACTAAACCCTCTCCCGCCTCCTCTGGGACCTCATTCCCTTGCTCATATCTTCAAGGTCTCTCTCCCCTCTGATTTCTCTGTAGTTCTTCTTCTTTTCCTTTTTCCCTTCCTTGGTAGTAACATCCACCTCCATATCTGCAACTTCCAGAGCCTATAACTCTGGCCAGAACTCAAAACTGCCTTTACAACTGCCTGCAAAACATCACCACATGGAGGCCTGTAGGCACCTCAAATCCACACCACGTCCAAAATGTGACACTCCTCTTGCCCTTCAACACTTTTCCCCTACGTCAGCGGTCCCCAACCTTCTTGGCACCAGGGACTGGTTTCGTGGTTCCACGGCCGAGGGGTTGGGGAGTGGGGGGCAGGGGTGGTGGTTCAGGCCGTAATGCGAGCGGTGGGGACGATGGGGAGCGGCAGGTAAAGCTTCACTTGCTCGCCCGCTGCTCACCTCCTGCTGTGCGGCCTGGTTCCTAACAGGAACCCCGGGGGTTGGGGACCCCTGCTCTACATTCCTCGTTACACTACCTGGTTAAAGACTTAATGCTCCTCCCAGCTTCTCAGACTCACACCTTTGACCTCTGCCTCACTACTCACAGCCACTTAGTAAACTGTGTTTATTCTACCATTCATTCCACTGCCTCCATTCCATTCCAGCTACCTAGCTCAGTCTATCTACACTTTTTACCTGGATTATGACTTCCAAAGCGACCACTGTGTTTCTTCCCCCTGCTCCCTCCAATTCATTTCATGCAGTTATTTTCCTAAAGGCCAACCTGTTCATGTCACTTGCCTTCTCAAAAATGTCCTATTGCCTGTGCTCAAGCAAGCACTGGAAGGTCAGGAACACAAGTGTCATGGAGAAAAGGGAATTTCTGAGTTATAATATGCTAGGTAGACAGCAGAGGAAATGAAGAGAACTTAAAACAGACTTTATGAGGAAGAGGAATGTCTCTTTGAAAGAGGAAGTGGTAGGAAGAGGCAAGTTTCTCCCCTAATATGTAAACTTAGCAACACAACTGACCTACTAATGCTGGATTTCTCCCCAGTGGATTTAAGTGTAGAGGTCACAGACTCTGGACTACTGGCAAAGAATGCCTGGCATCCTGGCAGGACTGAAACCAAGAAGCTTCCTCTTTACCATCACATCTTCCCTGGTCCCTCTTCTAACCACACAATAAGTCCCCGCTGTGGTCTTTGGGAGGCAACAGCAATGCGGGATTTGTTTTGAGATTGAAGAACATCATTTGCCTGTAATAACTGCCCTGGGGCTCAATGTGGTGGCTTTGGGTTGCAGCTATATTCATTCTATGTGTGCTACTGACCTTCTGAATTCATTTTTGTTAGAATGTAGAAACTGTAAGAGTTTGAATAATATGCTGAAGAAACGGGGCTTCCCTGGTGGCGCAGTTGTTAAGAATCCACCTGCCAATGCAGGGGACAGGGGTTCGATCCCTGGTCTGGGAAGATCCCACATGCTGCGGAGCAACTAAGCCCATGCGCCACAACTACTGAGCCCATATGCCACAACTACTGAGCCCATAGGCCTAGAGCCCCTGCTCCGCAACAAGAGAAGCCCACGCACCGCAACGAAGAGTAGCCCCTGCTTACTGCAACTAGAGAAAGCCTGCACGCAGCAACAAAGACCCAAAGCAGACAAAAATAAATAAAATAAAATAAATAAATTTATTTAAAAAAAAATATGCTGAAGAAACAATTCTACTGAAACACAGGTCAGGCTTGAACGCATGGAGGAACTCTAACTCTATCCAATCTTCTGAATGAGCATCCAGCCCTCAAACTGCCTCCAAAGGGTGGGGAAGAACCACAGAATAAGAGATAGCAGAAACGAGAAAGGGAATTTTCAACTTAATATCCCTTTAGTGCTTACTAGGAAATTATTCTGGACTCTGATTTCTCAATAGGAATTCAACAGCAGGGAGTTCACATCAGGAATGCTTTTACGTTGCTAACATGTTAGTTGAAGCATTTTTATGCTATCATGTTGGCTTATTACACAATTTTTTACTTTTATTATATAACAATACATCTCTACATAACTTGAAATAGGAAATATTATTGCACATTTATTAAGTACCCATCAGGCACCACTCCAAGTGCTTTCCATGTGTTAACCTATTTAAACATCCCAACAACACCACAATGTCAGTACTAGTAACAGTCCCATTTTACAGAGGAGGAAGCTAAGTCACAGGAGGTTTCAATAACATGGCTAAAAATCCCATAACAAAAATTCCTAACTATAAATGTTCAGCTTTGAGTGCACTGTAGCTTTGAAGTTAACTTAATTCATCTAGTGAATACTCTACTCTGACCCATTTCAGAGCCTTCTGTGGGCAAACACTGAACTGCCAACCACTGGTCCCAGCGGGGTAAACAAGTGCTCTCAGAAGAATGGCCTCCCCAAGGTGGGAGCAAGAGACCCTGTGACCATTCCTGATGCAAGTCCCAGAGGATGAACACCGCACTGCGTGACCAGATCAGACCACTAGGTCCAACGGGTTAAAAGAATCAAATGTCAGGAAGTCTAGAGAAAAATTTCTCTTCCTCTCTCCATGCTTCCTCTACCTATAAGACAGGAAAAGTCTTTTTCTTGGACTTACTGAGAAGAAAACTGTCTTGCTGTCCTCTCTGTGTGTCATAACTGATCCTCCTCACAGAAGTGACTTCTCCCATGGGTGGTCCTGGGAAATGGTCATTGTGTGCATACGCCCACTGTCTTGGCCACAAAGCACAGTGGTGAGGAGCCTGGCTTCTGAAGCCAAACTGCAGGGTCTGGATCCTAATCCCACCATTTGCAGCCACATAACTTACAGAAAGATACTTAACCTCTCTGTACATTAGTCTCCTCACCTATAAAGCTGGGAACAATAACAGTACCTACCTCAGAATAGAGGCACCACTTAGAAGAGGGCCTAACAGAAGGGAAATGTTCATTAAGTGTTAGCTATTATTATTTTTCCTATTTAGACTCTCACAAAAGACCTGCCTCAAACCTTCTCTGTATTCGTGCCTCTTCTGTGCTCTAAGCCTACTGAGGCAGGCATTGCCCGCCATGGGGGGAGAGTCCAAAACAGCCCATCTCCTCTGCTTGGACCTGGGGAGGCAAGTTCACTTCAAGACAAAAGAAGCAATGAGACTTGGATGCAGGCCATGCATTCCCAGCTAGCTTTACCACCAATACAGCAGACGTTCACGTGCCTATTTTGCTCCCATGAATATTTTTCAATTAGTCTGTACTCCAAGGAGAGAGAGTGTGACTAACTGGTACCTCTAAACCCTAACACCAAAAGATGCGTGATACGTGTACCCCAAAGAACATAAGTCACACAAGTCCAAAAATCAAGGGGACAGGGATATTTCTTAAATGACAAGAGGAAGAGAGATACCAAAAAGGATGCATATGTAGTTCATATGCAGAAGTATATCCATCCTTACATGGGCACTAACTCTTGTCAATGAAAAAGAGACTTTTTGCAATAAACAGGAGCACACTTATACAATACCAATGTGTCCTTACATAAACGTCCTTACTAAGAATAAATACACACATACACGCTCAGAATAAAACAGTTTTAAAGTTATCTCTGCAACTGTTTTACTAAAGAAACAATTTTTTAAGGATCTGAAAAGCCCTGATTGGTTCCTGACTTGAGGCAGCCCTTGGAGTAAATCTGCCCCAAGTTCAGCTGCTGGGGATGGGGGACAGGGGACAGGGGTGAGAATGGAGCATCAGGAGTCAAGCACTTACTACAGAATTCCGCATACTCAGCTGGCAGCAGGAAGGTCTGAGGGAGGATGTGAAAAGCCTTGAATCCGTGCGTATGCTGCATTCGAATGATGTTTTTGTACAGTCGGTCCTTCCGGGTTAGTTCATACGACCTAAATTTCATAAAAGCATTTCCATTTCAGTACGCTATGACTCAGAGGTTATCTTGTGTCATCACATACTAAAGAGTTCACGGTTCATGAGCAGTTACTGAGGACAGTATTATATCCCAAATCTATCACTTTGTCAAGGAAATGATCACCTTAAAACTAGGGCAATAAATGCTACTTATCAGGGAGTGTAATCTGGCAAACTACAAAAAGGCACTTCAGTTGGCCTCGACTGGATTCATGAATCTATGGTTTGTTGCACTATTTTAAAACCATCTAAGAATCTTTGCTGTAACCATTAAAACTGCATTCTAGCTGTTCCTCAGTTCAAAATTTTGACTTTGATTTCTTAAAATCAAAGGTTGCTTTGCCAAATGTAGGTATGACCAATACTTCTTTCTTACCCACTGTTCTCTTCAGATCTAGAGCAGAGGTCCTCAAATTTTAGTGTACATAAGAATCACCTATAGAGTTTCTTTAAAAACGAATGTTCCAGGGTCACATCTCTCAAAATTCTGCGATGAAGTCTAGGGCTCTGCATTTTAAGCATGGACCCCAGGTGATTTTGGTACAGATGGTCCGGAGACCACAATGTAACAGTGATTTAGTCTAGATCAGTAATTTCCAAACTTGACTGAGATACAGATCACCTCATTGCTTTTAAAATATATAACTTTCCAGGTATATATTTACCTAGAAAGATTAAGCACCTAGAAGAATGCTTTTTAAATATACACCTTCCCTGGAGATGGTGATTCCTTGAATCTGCAGTAAGACCTATGAATGTAAAGTACCCCTAGTGATGCTTATCATTAAGGAATTAGAAACAATGAACCAGGCTGAGGGGACTTTCAGGATGGTGGAGGAGTAAGACGTGGAGATCACCTTCCTCCCAACAAATACATCAAAAATACATCTACATGTGGAACAACTCCTACAGAACACCTAATGAACGCTGGCAGAAGACCTCAGACTTCCCAAAAGCCATGTGGCTGACAGGGTCTTGGTGCTCCAGCTGGGTGTCAGGCCTGAGCCTCTGAGATGGGAGAGCCGAGTTCAGAACGTTGGTCCACCAGAGACCTCCTGGCCCCACATAATATCAACCAACAAGAGCTCTCCCAGAGATCTCCATCTCAACGCTAAGACCCAGCTCCACTCAACAACCAGCAAGCTACAGTGCTGGACACGCCATGCCAAACAACTAGCAAGACAGGAACACAACCCCACCCATTAGCGGAGAGGCTGCCTAAAATCATAATAAGTTCACAGACACACCAAAACACACCACCGGACGCAGTCCTGCCCACCACAAAGACAAGACCCAGCCTCATCCACCAGAACACAGGCACTAGTCCCCTCCACCAGGAAGCCTACACATCCCACGGAACCAACGTTACCCACTGGGGGCAGACACCAAAAACAATGGGAACTACAAACCAGCAGCCTGCGAAAAGGAGACCACAAACACAGTAAGTTTAGCAAAACGAGAAGACAGAGAAATACACAGCAGATGAAGGAGCAAGGTAAAAACCCACCAGACCAAATAAATGAAGAGGAAATAGGCAGTCTACCTGAAAAAGAATTCAGAGTAATGATAGTAAAGATGATCCAAAATCTTGGAAACAGAATGGAGAAAATACAAGAAACATTTAACAAGGACCTAGAAGAACTAAAGAGCAAACAAACACTGACGAACAACACAATAAATAAAATTAAAAATTTGCTGGAAGGGGCTTCCCTGGTGGCGCAGTGGTTAAGAATCCGCCTGCCAACGCAGGGGACACGGCATCGAGCCCTGATCCAGGAAGATCCCACATACCATGGAGCAACTAAGCTCATGCACCACAACTACTGAGCCTGCACTCTAGAGCCTGCGAGCCACAACTACTGAGCCTGCATGCCACAACTACTGAAGCCCGCACAACTAGAGCCTGTACTCCACAACAAGAGAAGCCACTGCAATGAGAAGCCCACACACCGCAATGAAGAGTAGCCCCTGCTCACTGCAACTAAAGAAAGCCCACATGCAGCAACAAAGACCCAACGCAGCCAAAAAAAAAAAAAAATGCTCTGGAAGGAATCAATAGAATAACTGAGGCAGAAGAACGAATAAGTGACCTGGAAGATAAAATAGTGGGAATAACTACCACTGAGCAGAAAAAAGAAAAAAGAATGAAAAGAACTGAGGACAGTCTCATAGACCTCTGGGAAAATATTAAACGCACCAACATTCGTGTTACAGGGGTCCAGAAGAAGAAGAGAAAAAGAAAGGGACTGAGAAAATATTTGAAGAGATTATAGTTGAAAACGTCCCTAATATGGGAAAGGAAATAGTCAATCAAGTCCAGGAAGTGCAGAGAGTCCCATGTAGGATAAATCCAAGGAGAAACACATGAAAACACATATTAATCAAACTATCAAAAATCAAACAGAAAAGAAATAATATTAAAAGCAGCAAGGGAAAAGCAACAAATAACATACAAGGGAATCCCCATTATGTTAACAGCTGATCTTTCAGCAGAAGCTCTGCAAGCCAGAAAGGTGTGGCAGGACATATATAAAGTGATGAAGGAGAAAAACCTACAACCAAGATTATTCTACCCTGCAAGTATCTCATTCGGATTCGACGGAGAAATTAAAACCTTTATAGACAAGCAAAAGCTAAGAAAATTCGGCACCACCAAACGAGCTTTACAACAAATGCTAAAGGAACTTCTCTAGGCAGGAAACACAAGAGAAGGAAAAGACCTACAAAACAAACCCAAAACAATTAAGAAAATGGTAATAGGAACATACATATCAACAATTTCCTTAAATGTAAATGGATTAAATGCTCCAATCAAAAGACACAGCCTCGCCGAACGGATACAAAAACACGACCTGTATATATGTTGTCTACAAGAGACCCACTTCAGACCTAGGGACACATACAGACTGAAAGTGAGGGGATGGAAAAAGATTTCCACGCAAATGGAAATCAAAAGAAAGCTGGAGTAGCAATTCTCATATCAGACAAAATAGACTTTAAAATAAAGACTATTACAAGAGACAAAGGACATTACATAATGATCCAGGAATCAATCCAAGAAGAAGATATAACAACTGTAAATATTTATGCACCCAACATACCTTAATACATAAGGTAAATACTAACTGCCATAAAAGGGGAAATAGACAGTAACACAATAATAGTAGTGCACTTAAACACCCCACTTTCACCAATGGACAGATCATCCAAAATGAGAAAAAAAAAAAAAGGAAACACAAGCTTTAAATGATTATTAAACAAGATGGACTTAATTGATATTTATAGGACATCCGATCCCAAAACAACGCAATACACCATCTTCTCAAGTGCTCATGGAACATTCTCCAGGATAGATCATATCTTGGGTCACAAATCAAGCCTTGGTAAATTTAAGAAAATCGAAATTGTATCAAGTACCTTTTCCAACCACAACACTATGAGACTAGATAGCAATTACAGGAAAAAAATCTGTAAAAAATACAAACACATGGAGGCTAAACAATACCTACTAAATAACCAAGAGATCACTGAACAAATCAAAGAGGAAATCAAAAAATACCTAGAAACAAATGACAATGAAAACATGACGACCCAAAACCTATGGAATGCAGCAAACAGCAGTTCTAAGAGTGAAGTTAATACCAATACAATCCTACCTCAAGAACCAAGAAAAATCTCAAATAAACAACTAACCTTACACCTAAAGCAATTAGAGAAAGAAGAACAAAAAACACCCAAAGTTAGCAGAAGGAAAGAAATCATAAAGATCAGATCAGAAATAAATGAAAAAGAAATGAAGGAAACAATAGCAAAGATCAATAAAACTAAAAGCTGGTTCTTTGAGAAGATAAACAAAATTGATGAACCATTAGCCAGACTCATCAAGAAAAAAAGGGAGAAGACTCAGATCAATAGAATCAGAAATGAAAAAGGAGAAGTAACAACAGACACTGCAGAAATACAAAAGATCATGAGAGCTTACTACAAGCAACTCTATGCCAATAAAATGGACAACCTGGAAGAAATGGACAAATTCATAGAAATGCACAACCTGCCAAGACTGAACCAGGAAGAAACAGAAAATATAAACAAGTCAATCACAAGCACTGAAATTGAAACTGTGATTTAAAATCTTCCAACAGACAAAAGCTCAGGACCAGATGGCTTCACAGGCGAATTCTATCAAACATTTAGAGAAGAGCTAACACCCATCCTTCTCAAACTCTTCCAAAATACAGCAGAGGGAGGAACACTCCCAAACTCATTCTACAAGGCCACCATCACCCTGATACCAAAACCAGACAAAGATGTCACAAAAAAAGAAAACTACAGGCCAATATCACTGATGAACATCGATGCAAAAATCCTCAACAAAATACTAGCAAACAGAATCCAACAGCACATTAAAAGGATTATACACCACGATCAAGTGGGATTTATCTCGGGAATGCAAGGATTCTTCAATATAGGCAAATCAGTCAATGTGATAAACCATATTAACAAATTGAAGGAGAAAAACTATATGATAATCCCAACAGATGCAGAGCAAGCTTTTGACAAAATTCAACACCTATTTATGATAAAAACCCTCCAGAAAATAGGCATAGATGGAACTTACGTCAACATAATAAAGGCCATATATGACAAACCCACAGCCAACATTGTTATCAGTGGTGAAAAACTGAAACTATTTCCACTAAGATCAGGAACATGACAAGGTTGCCCACTTTCACCACTATTAATCAACATAGTTTATGAAGTTTAAGCCAGAGCAATCAGAGAAGAAAAAGAAATTAAAGGAATCCAAATTGGAAAAGAAGAAGTAAAACTGTCACTGTTTGCAGATGACATGATACTATATGTACAGAATCCTAAAGATGCTACCAGAAAACTACTAGAGCTAATCAATGAATTTGGTAAAGTAGCAGGATACAAAATTAATGCACAGAAATACCTTGCATTCCTATACACTAAT